ACAACATTTATACTATATTAGTTTGGAGTGATGTTAGCTAGGGTGACCATACTTGGGTGCTATCTGATGTCGGGTTACTAATCACATCATCAATAGTGAAATAAATGAAAAAAGTGAGAATTAGTATCAGATGTCATATCTTATAAAACTTAGATATGATAACCTGATGGATTCAATTTTTTTTTTTTTGGGGGGGAGGGGGGATTGGCAATTTGGCACCGGGGTGTTTGGATCAAAGCAATGGATGAAACTTTTTTTCATCATCATTATGTATTGCATCTATAATATCTCAGTCTGGTTTAATTTGATATTGATGATTTTTTTTATTTTGTTGAATTGTTTAGTGGCTGTGGCTTATCTCTGAAGAAATAGAATGGAGGGGCAAAAGAGAAATCTGTGAATTGATTACCAGTAATTGGTACTTCATTCTAACCTTTTCTTTTCCTTTATCTCCGTTTTCCACTTTTTCTAGCAAGTCAATTATATTGGTCAAAGTTAGTTGAGCCTAATTGATTCCATAAATACTTTGTGAGATTATCAAGAATCGATTAGATCAAAGATTAATGGTATATTTATATAAGTGGATTGTTTGGCTAAGGTGTTTGCTCAGGATTGATTTACAGTCTGCGCCAACTTATTTGGGATGCATCTTTATTTTGTGAAGCTTTCTCCTTATTCTTTATTGGCTTTATATATAAACTAAGTGTTCAATTAATCAATATATATAAACTAAGTGTTCAATTAATCAATATATATAAACTAAGTGTTCAATTAATCAATATATATAAACTAAGTGTTCAATTAATCAATATATATAAACTAAGTGTTCAATTAATCAATATATATAAACTAAGTGTTCAATTAATCAATATATATAAACTAAGTGTTCAATTAATCAATATATATAAACTAAGTGTTCAATTAATCAATATATATAAACTAAGTGTTCAATTAATCAATATATATAAACTAAGTGTTCTATTAATCAATATATATAAACTAAGTGTTCATTTGATTTTCTTACCATTAGTTACAAATGTTGTTGGGCTTACATTAATAAATACACATATGAAATCCTAGAATCTATGTAGGCTCTAGAATGCCCGTGGCGCCGGGGGAGGGGGGGAGTTCATTTTGTCAGTACTCAAATAATTGTAAAAAATAGTTGTCACCATACATTTTAATTTTCAGTCGTTGAGTTTTAAGAAAAGTAAATTCAAATTATTGATTTTGAAATATGACCAAAGACCATTTTTATTAAAAAAAAAAGTCACTATAATGAATCGTGATGAACACCACGTTGGGTTATAACTAAATATCACAATGGGTTGTGACCAACTTTGATTTGACAATTGGTTAGCTTGCACTCCAATGACAATTTGTTTTGACAATTCTTTTCGGATAAAAAAACAAAAGAAACATACAATAAACTTAGCCCAATTCATTTGTCACTGCACATTCTGATCCTATTTTCATAGAAAGCATCATTTTTCACATGAACATATTCGACAGAAATGAATAAAATTGAAGTTTATTCCGTTTGATTACACATCAGATGTCACAAACTCAACCAAAATTTCAAGATATATCTATATATATGGAGTCAAAACAACTACCTAATCAAACAAACATTACAAACAAAAGCTATTCATATAATCTTTTCCTAAATTTAGAATCCAACCACTCCAAGTGAGTTCACAAACGTGAAAACGGCATTTTGAAGAATGGGAAGCAAGAATCAATACAGAAAATAGGGGTTAACAAAAGGGGATTTCGAAGAAGGGAATCAAAACAACTACCAAAGCAAACAAACATAAAAAAACCTAAACCTAATATTTTCCTATTTTTATAAACCAACCCAATGAGTTCACAAACGTGAAAGGGGCAGTTTCAAAGAAAGGGATTGCGGTCTAGGGTTTCATAGAATGGATATGGAGAAAGGGGGAGAGAAAAAAGTTGCAAAGAGAGAGAGAGACATACCTTTAGGCGAAGTCGAGGGTAGGTCGTGTTCGCAGGGATGGTCTTCGAGGGTGAAGAAGAGTGTCTGCGTGCTATCTCAAAAACAGAGGGGCTTTGGGAAAAAAACTGAAGAAATTTGAATAAAAGGTAACCGGTTGAAGAGGTTCTCACGATTCCTAATCAAATTATTCAGTCGCTGAGATTAATTTGTAAAAATCTAATGGCTTAAAATAAATGTGTATATGATGTGCACATCTTATTGAGGTGCACATCTTAACAACTCCCTTAAAAAAAATATAATAACTTTCTTTTCATCTTCCTTATTTAAGAAAAAAAGAGAAAAATTTAGATTCTTTCATTTTATTTATTCATTTTTTATAATTTTTTTTCACAATTCAAAATTCAATCATGACTTTAATTATTTATTCTCATAATTTTGGTAAAATATGCAAATTGAAGTTGTCGTTGACAAATTTAATCAATGAGTGGTTCCTTGTACCGGGTAACCTCAGGTTGTGGATATTGAGGGTCCATAGCATAAGATTCACATGGTTTATTGTTTTTAATAGGGGTGGGCAACGGTTTATCCGAACCACTCAAACCGCCCAGCCCGTATATAAATAGGCGGTTTCGCAAACATAATGCGGACGGATGCGGTTTGAAATATGACAAATTTGCGGGTTGCGGGTGGGTCGCGGTTTAAACCCGCAACCCGCAAAAACTGCTCGCACTTTAATGATTATTATTATTATTATTTTTTATATACCAACTTTGTAACTTCTATAGGAGCACCATTATATTCTCTATGACACTAGGATCCTTATTTTTAAATATTTCTCAACTTTCTTAATGCCGTAGAATTATCAAGTCCTAAACTTGGTTTCTTATATAATTTTCATTGGTGATTCATCCACTTTTTTCTAATAAAATTTTCCTTCTAGTGGTCGATGGAACTTCTAGTTTGATTATTGATTACTGAACTGTCAATTCTAATTGAGTACAACTTTTAATGCATTGATATACATTTTTTTCATGACAAAAATGCTAGTGTAGGGTCTCTTTGTTTTGGGTACTTTTATTTAATGCATTGATATTCAATTTTTATTTGTAAACTCATCAGAAAATTGTTATCACAAATATATAAAATAAATCTGATGCCTAAATTCGATGGGAAAAAAAAACTCAAAAATTAATTTTTAAAGAAAAAGTGTAAACCGCAAACCACCCGCACATTTGCAAATCCTATCCGCACAAACCGCAATGCGGGCGGTTGCGGGTTGACTTTTTTCCAAAGCGCATAGATGCGGGCGGGTTAAAACCGAACCGCAAACTGCACAAAACCGATCCGCGAACACCCCTAGTTTTTAATGTAATTTGGTAGATGGGAAAGTTCAAACTAAAAAACAAACAAACAAATAAATAAATTTAGGGTTAGTTTGACAAGTGATTTTTTAGTGACTTTTTAGTTAAATATGAGGTACAAAAATTAAAGTGTTTTGAAATGATTTTATGAAAATAAGTCTAAAAAAGTAAAGAGAAGAGAATGAATTTTTGCTTTTTTCTTTTAATATGAATTTTTAGTTTTTTAGTGATTTTTTGAATTTTTGACTAAAATCCTAACTTGCCAAACATCCCCTTAGAAACAAACCATGAGTCTGTTTTGTTGTATTTTTATTTTTATTTTTTTGTTTTCAATTTTTTAGAAACACAAAAAACTTGTATGATGTCCTATTTCTGAAATATGTTCTTGGAATTTTTTTTTTTCTCCCTGAAAACACCCAAAAGTTATTTTTCAATTTTCAAAAACTATTTTTGCAAAAACAAATATGAAAATAAATAAAGAGTCGAGTATTTTCAAACTTTTTATTATTTATTTTGGAAGACATGAAAACAAAAATAAATAAAAAATATAATTAAAATTTGATTGGTCATTTAGAGTTAATTATTGCGTACTTCCGAAATATCATGTAACTAGATGCTTACTACCCAATAAACATAGTGTAACGTTCATATGCTAGACAACACTTTAGTTAGTTGAAGGATAAAGAATTATTTACTTAAAGCATCTTCAATGGAGCTTTCAAAACAGTTATTAAAGTTATAATTTAGCAATAGTGATAAAAAGTGAGTCTCCAATGACCTGCTATTTTACTTGCCAAAGATGACATATGTCATATCTGTTCTCAAATTTGACAAGTAAAACAATAACGGCCAAACATGTCACATCAGTAAATATGAACATATTTGTGGCTCTAAATTCAGTTAAAAAACAGAATTGAAACAGAACCAAGCAATTTTTCAAATTTAATTTTTCTATTTAATTTTTTAAATTGAATTATATTTATTTTTTTTTTCATTTTTTATATTTGTCTAGTCGGAAATAATATACATATATAATTTTTTTTTTTACAAATAGTTAAAAGAAGGTCATAAAAGACAAAAAATAAACTAAAATAAAATCACAAAAAAACCTATATCCAAACAACACCTACAAACTTGGAGAGAAAGTTGGTTGAGAATTGCCAAAGTAGCAAGTGACCATTGGAGCACCATTGTTATAATTTGACAAAATAACATTGTTTATTGTCAAATTATAGCAATAATAATGGTATTATAACAACAACCATTGACGATGCTCTTAGCCTTCGTTTGGCATGTGACTTAATTTTTTGATTTTTTTGACTATTTTAACTTGGGATTAAAAAATCTCATTTGAAATAAACTTTTTGATTTTTTTAACTTTTATGAGAAAAAAAATGAAATGATTATGCTTTAGATATGATATACTGTCTTATTGATTTTTAACTTATTTTGTCTTTTTGTGACTATTTTAACTCAAAAAATTTATACAAAACATAGCCTTAATATATTTTGCGATTTTTTATTTGTCGAAAGCACTACATAGACAATTGTTACATTTTACTCCAGGACTAGATAATTTTTTCAATAATGTTAGAATGACCCTAGTAGGCATCTTATACCAAAGTATAACTTTTAATATTGTGCTTTAGATAACACTATTCATTTGTGTTATGTGGAGCTTGTCAAATGATGTAATTAGTATTATGTAAGATGTTACATTATATAGTATCAAAATATGATAATTCTAACATTACTTAATTTAAAAATGCATAATGCTTTGTAGCTTGAAACCCAGTGGCTTGATTGGCCCGAAATCTGAGTTATATTCTCTCTCCTCTCATCTGACTCCAAACCAAACCATTCCGCTGATCCAGGTCCCTCTCCACTCATACGGTAACGACGACGCCCGGATCCATCTCATCCCTGCACAGATGAACAACCAAATTTTTCTGAACCAGTTTAAGTTCATTGAAATTATTTCAACATTTTTCTGAACAGATGAACAAGAAGTTCAATTTTCTGAACAACAGATGAACAACAAGTTTAATTTTTTGAACAACAGATGAACAATAAGTCTAATTTTCTGGACAACAGTTGAACAAGTTCAGCATTTTCTGTTCTTTGAAATTAGTTTACTTCTCTGATTGATATTATGGAAATTTCAAACATGAAGATTGAAATTAGTTCATCTTGTTGATTGCAACAAAACATGAATTTCAGAACATGAAATTAGTATATAAATTTTCCAAAACACCCAATCTAAAACCAAATTTCAATTACATGAAATTAGTATATAATTTTCCAAAATACCCAATCTGCAACCAAATTTCAATCACATGAAATTAGTATATAAATTTTCCAAAACACCCAATCTGAAACTAAATTTCAATCACATGAAATTAGTATAAAAATTTTCCAAAACACCCAATCTGAAACCAAATTTCAATCACCCAATCTGAAAATCAATCCAATAGTTGCAATCACACCCACCAGCAGCAGCACCGGCAGCACTCTTGCGCCATACACAGAAACAATGGCACACACAGCAGCATCAGCAGAGGACGCAGCCTGGTTGGCGACACACAGGACGGCTCCTCTCTCTTCGTCGTCGTCGGCTTCGTCTCCTTTCTCTCTACGCTCTGTTCTTTCTTTCTTTTTTTTTTTTTCCTCCAAATGAAATGTGTGGCTGAGCTGAGCATTATATGAGAAGTGAGTGTACAAAGAAATTGGAGTTGTACAAAAAAAATCGGGCCATTCGAGCCGTTGAAGTTTCGAGGTATAAAGCGGTACTCTTTAAAAATACAACAATGCTAGGTAGCTCAAAATCTTGTGGCTCAAATGGCTTAAATCCCTCAAAACGACGTCGTTTTGAGTGTAAATGAATGTAAAACGACGTCGTTTTGACAGATTTGAGCCACAAAATTTTGAGTTACCAAACATTTTCCTTAAAAATATAAATGATCCAAATTCAATTTTAATAGACAAATATAAGTAAGTGATTTTAGGGGTTTAGCAAAATGGTGGTGACAAGTCAAGGGCAATTGACAAAGAAAAGTTAAGATGTCTAGCAGGAGAAAGGTTGAATGATTGGGGTCGTGAAAGTTACAAGGTGGATAAAAGAGAAGAACAAGGAAATAGCCAAATGTGAGTTGCCAAAGTTAGTGAGTGTGAGAAAATTTAGAAGTTGTACTTGGTAGGTAAACAGTGGCAGAGCCACATGGGGATTAGGGGAGTCACGTGCCCCTCTTGGATTTTTTAATTTTTTTTTTACCATATGTATATAAATAAAATTTTAAACAAAAATAATATTTAGAATACAATATCAAGGAAATTTTTAAATTTATGAAAACAATAGTGATTGTTTTATTGAAAATGAAGTGAGTACAACAAATTATATTTTTATGTATGAAAATTTTGTGAAAAAATCTCAATATAAAGGTAATATCCATCATTATTGATATGTAAATATAATTAATCTCACTACATATATGTAAAAATTACTAGATTGTTAGTTATATTTGCATGTGAAGTTCATCCTTCATATGTTGTTTTACTATTGGTTGGTGACATCATATGTCAATAATGACGTGATATCACTATTATATGAAATTTTTTACTCAAATTTTGTAAAAATTTAATTTATCTTATCATTATATAATTTATTTTATGACTTAAATATATGACTTTTTTACATTGTCTATGATACACTAGTTACACGCCATACTTTCTTTTCGATTTTACTCGAAGTTAATTGTAAAATTTTATGTGAAATACTTTTGTAACAATATTTTTAATTTTTTGTACGTAATATTAATTCAAAAATTATTATTATCTTCTTTTTGTTGGTTGTGAAAAAAAAAGAAGAAGCTGTAATTAATAAATGCCCCTCATGATTTAATTTCCTGGCTCCGTCACTGTAAGTAAATGTTGATTTTAGAAAGGATAAGATGATAAGGATCACTGGTAGTTCATTGTTTGTCATTTTTATTATGTTATTCATTTTTTTTTTTAATTTAAACAAATTTTGTCAGATTGAGTTTCACAAAAAAAAAAAGAAAAAAAAAGAAGAAGAAGAAGTAATTATTATATATATACACATAGTTTACTCAGGGTTGGCCTTGGGCTAAGGCCACTAAGACTTGTGTCTTTTGTCCCAAAATTTGGCCAAAAAATAGGGCCTTCAAATTCATTAGAAGTATACTCAAAATTTAAATAGACCCAATTTGTTTTTGTTGATTTAGGGCCAGTCTCAAGGATTCCAAAAAATTCTATTAGGCCCAATTAAGAAAAATATTTAATAACAAATGTGGTTAGGTCCAATTGAAAAAAATACTTAAAACATATGCAAGTATAGTTGGCCCAAATAATAGAATAAATAATTTTGCTCTAATTTTTCTCTTATAAACTATCAAATTTTAATGGAATAAATAATTTTACCCTAATTTTTTTACCCTATGTCTTTATCATATTTTAATTGAATAAAGTTTTCCTAATTTTTTTGCTATCAGATATCAGATAGTGAGCGGATTTTGTGTTTTGTGTGGAAAATTAATTATATAATCATGTTTCCTTTTCATTTATATTTGCTTCACACTGCTAGTGAAGAAAAAGAAAAATTATTATCCCACTTTTCAATTTAACACAATGTGAAATCATTTATGTTTGCTTCACATTGTTAGAACATTTCATTAATTAGATTTATTGATTAATTAGTTGTTTTGTTGATTTGAACTATACCTTTTTGTAACTTTTTTTTTTTTACTTTGGAATGAATACATTTTGATATCTATTTTAATATCAATCGGCGGTAGTGGTGCCAAATAGGATGATTTTTATTTTTATTTTTATTTTTATGAATATAGGTCCCTTTTTTGGTTTTGCCTTACGCCCTAACAACTTAGAGTCGGCCCTGTACTATATCATCATATGAATCTAATATATGACAAACTAAAATTATGAAACCCTTGGAAAAATAATAAGGTATTTATATTTTATCATAGGTGTACTTTTTGTTCCTAAAAATTAAAATAAAAAGTACAATTTATAATTTACTATATTTTTTATTTAATTTTTGCTAATTACATTAAGATTCATGTATTTTTTTTATTTATTTAGAATTTATAACCATCATAATCTTTCACGTTTCAGGGTTGAAATTCTTTTTTGGCAGCAGTGTTTTTCTTTCGGCCCCAAATTTTAAAATTTTAGTCTATAATTTCTGAAATTTCAATTCTTGAAAACAGAGAACTTGCTTTATATCTCAATTTGCCATCAGTTTCGGAAATTTTAATCCTTAACTTGAAATTTTGGTGAAGTTTAATTACTCGAAGATATTGAAATTTTGGAATTCATATGCATTATAGATCAACTCGATGTTATTATTAAAAAAAATATAAACTTTACAAAAACTAAAAATTAAAAATAAAATAGAAAATGAAGACCTGAAGTGTCAGGGTATTTTGGTTGGAAATTTGTCTTCTAAATTTTACGGAAAGGAAGTTCTGAAAAAAGTTTTGATTTATATTAGGAGAAAATTTTACTATTACCCAATGTGCATCCTATGATTGGCCGTTACAAAATTCAAAATTCACATTATTTTTTATATATTTGTTTGAACATATAAAATAAACTAAAATTCTTATTCGATTTTGCTATGCCAACTAAATAGAAAAAAAGTCCTTTTTTTAAAAAAAAAAAAAAAAAAACTAGCAATAAAGCCCATGCTATACACAAAATGAAAATTTTATATTTTTTAATTTATCGTATATATTTGAACTTTAGAAAGCAATTTTTATTAAAATAAAAAGGATAAATTACACTGACCTCCCCTGAGGTTTACCTTAATTCCAGGGATCTCCCTTGTAGTTCAAAAAATAACACTGACCTTCACTACTTTTGAAAATAATATACAGATTCCCCCTTCTCGTTAAAAGAGTCTTAACGACGTTAACTTGATAGTAAAATTGACCATAATACCCCTCTCATTCATTCTTATATATATAGAGAGAATATATATATGTATATAAACACATACATATCCTATATATATATATATATATATATATCACTGTACCCATTCTATCTCTCTTCCCTATCATTCTCTGTGTGCTTTTCTTCTCTCTTTCTCTCTCCCTCTCTCTGCATGTGCAGGTTAGCGATTTGGGTTGAGAGTGGTCCAGCAAGCTGGAGGTGAGGGAGGCGGAGCTCACTGACTCGACTGTTGTAACAAGCGACACTGCGCCAGTCGTTGGGAGCTGAGGGCGTGGAGGAGTCCCAATCGTTGAGGGAGCCGAAAGGGTCGTGGAGGTTGAGCTTGAAGGAAGTCAGGGCTTCAATCTTGGCTAGGATTTTAGGGCTGGGCTTGAAGGAAGTCAGGGCTTCGATCTTTACCTCTTTATCTCTAACTATTTATTTTTGTTGGGAACGATGTAATAATAGGTGTACGAAGAACTTAGAAGAATACAGTGAGGGGATTATAGAAACCCTAAAATAAGAGAAAAAATAGAGAGGGCCAGATTTGAAAATGCTGTAATGAGTAAAAGTCTTCTTTCAGAGGCTTCTGGGGAAGGGAAAAAAAAGAAAGTGCCAGATTTGAAAAGGCTGTAATGAGGAGAACCCCTTTTGGGATTTTTTATGGAAACAGAGAAAAGTCCTAAATGTAATAATAAGTAAAACCCAGATGAAGAATTTTGTAAATTTTTGTTGGAAACAATGTAAAGGGAGATGTGTGAAGAACTTAGAAGAACAGAGTGGCCCAGATTATAAAAACCCTAAAATGAGAGAAAAACAAAGAGGGCCTGATTTGAAATGCTGCAATGAACAAACCTAGATTGGGATTTTGTCTGCAAATAGAGGGGGCAAGTACTTAAATGTAACAATGAGTATAACCCAAATGAAGAATTTTGTAAATTTGCCTCTTCCTTAATCTCCATCTCTCTCTAAATCTCTCTCTCTCTCTCTCTCGGAAAGGCTTAATAAACTCTAGCTCGGCCAGTAGACTGGTAATCCCAATCATGTTGCGCAGATGGAATTAAGGGGCAATTGAGAGGGTAATTTTTGGGAAAAATTGGGCCGAGCTGCGAGTTGGGCTTTGTGGCCCAAAGTGCGAAGGACTAAGTAAAAAGGCCGTAATGATTACTCTGGCCCAATAAAAATGCAAAAGGTTACTCCGGCCCAGGAGAGGCAAGGTTACTCCGGCCCAGGAGAGGCAAGGTTACTCCGGCCTAGGAGAAACAAAGTTACTCCGGCCAGGGAGGTAAAATTACTTCGGCTCAGGAATTATAAAGATACTTCAGTCTAGGAACGATTTAGAGTTATGCCGGTCTTGGAGTCATACCGGCCGAAAGTCATTGGTTCGGTCTAAGACCGTACCATTGGTTGTACATGAGAAAACCGATATAAGGATAGAGTTAAGGGTGGAACCGAACTAGGAATAGTTCGGTTTACTCATTGGCTCTGCATAGCCAAGCTTATTTCGGTCATATAGCAGTTCGGCCAAAGTAAAAACCATCCCACTTGGTTTAAGCAGTGGGGGGAGGGGTGTAAAAGGATAAGCATTATCCTTAGGAGTATGAATGCTAAGAGGACTCTGCATGGAGGAATAAAAGTCCTACTAGGATTGTGCCACAGGAAACTTATAAAAGCTCACAAACATCACCTTGGAGG